CATTTGCCAGGCAGGCACTGCACCACTGAGCTGTATCCCCAGCCCTCATTCTATTTCTTTATCATAATCTTAGACTTCTCAGCATGACCAAAAAAACTAAAAGCAATAAAATGATTACACAAAAATTCAATATGGCAAAGCATACACACATAAGCAAAGTAAAAGAACAAATAGTTAGAAAATAGTCGTAGGACATGATAAAGGATTAACTTTCTTAATACAGAAAAATCTCTTAAAAATTAAAAACAGTAACCACCAGATAGGGAATAAAAATGAGCAAAAGATATGAACAGGAATTTTAAAGAGAAAAATATACAGTCAAGCTGAGCATGGTAGTGTATGCCTATAATCCCAGCACTTGAGAGGCTGAGTCAGAAGGATCTCTGTGAGTTCAAGGCCAGCCTAGACTACATAGTGAGCTCAAGGCCAGCCTGACTACATACACCATCTCAAAAAATAAAAACAAAAAAAAAGTCAATGAAAACATGGTCAATAAATACTTGAAAAAAACTCCCCACCTCACCATTTTTTAGAATAAATATATTGCCAAGGATATAGCTCAGTGGTATAGCACCTGCCTAGCAAGCATGAGGTCATGAGTTTGATTCCCAGTACCACCAAAAAAATAAATATAATGTATAATAATGTCCTGTTTTCACCATCAAATTAGCAAAGTTGTTTTTTTTAATTGAAAAGCTGATATCACCAAAAGTTAGAGGAAATAGTATATATGACAGTATGAACTGGTGTAACATTTTTGGAAGGAAATCTGGTAACATTCAAATTTGAAATGCAAAAACACTTTGACCCAATAGTTTCGCCTTTAAGAACGTACTCAGCAAATACCTGCACAAGTAAGCAATGACACTATTTCAAGGATGATCTCTGTAGTACCATCTGTAATACTGAAATCCTAAATGTCCATGTATGAGAGACAAGTATAGCAAGTATTTGTGGCTGGGCGTGGTGGCGCACGCCTGTAATCCCAGCACTCGGATTATTGTGAGTTCAAGACCAGCCTGGGCTACAAAGTGAGCTCAAGGCCAGTCAGAACTATATAATGAGACCCTGTCTCAAAAAGACAAAAAAAAGTATGTTTATAACTGAAATACCACACAGACATTTAAAAGAATTTCACCTACTTATATCAAATGAAAAGATCTCTAGATTTATTAAGTACAGAGAACACAAATACAAAAGAGATCTCAAATATTATTCACAGGTAGAAAACAAAGTAACACGCTTGAGGGAAGAAGTACCATACAGTCTCCGACTTTCTATAGTGTCTGAAGTTTTCAGTGAGGACATACTCCTTTTTAAATTAAAACAATTACAAGCATATTTCAGCGATTTTTTAAAATGGAACTACACCATCTTGTATTTCTTGAACAAGGACTAATGAAAGAGGAAATAGCCCTGAAGTATTCAGCGTAAGGACAACAGACTGAGATTTTAAAGTTTTCACAGGTAATCTACAGAAGTAATAAATGGGCAAAACAATCACAATGGGTTTATAACCTTTAAAAAGCTATATACACTTGCTGGGCATGATGGCACATGCCTGTAGGCCCAACACTCAGGAGGCTGAAACAGGAGGATTGCCATGAGTTCAAGACCAGCTGGAATTATACAGGGAGATCCTGTCCCAAAACAAAGAAGTGATACGCAGAATTTTATTCATCTCACAATAATCTTGGGACTATATGACTTAACTACAGTTAACTTACACTTATTATTCTTTTATCACCACACCTGTATCAACTATGTGGTAACCGGCCTAATTAACATCAAACTTTTATATCATCAAATTATCTTGTTTGCAATCAAGAGACAACTGGGCATGATGGCACACACTTCTGATCCTAGTATTTGGGAGGCTGAGACAGGAGGATTGCTGCATCTTCAAGGCCAGCCTTGGCTACATAATGAGTTCAAGGCCAGCCTGACCTACATAGCAAGATCCTGTCTCGAAGAACTAAAAAAATCAGAGTCAATTTCTGATAGAAAAATTAGAGAATTTTATGTAAATTATAACTCTCAGGTGATATCTGGCAGGGAACTCTAAAGCTACCTCTGGATCTGGAATAATGAGCAGGCAGCACTATCAACAAGAAGACAAGATCTTAAGGAATGTAGTGCTAGATACTAAAAAAACACAAAAACCAAAAAACATCGGATTTCCTACCCTTGGTTTTGCACAAACACTGACAAGCTGTAGGATTTGCCCAAGGTCACCCACATAAGTAGGTAGTCAATGAGTACATACACAGTAACACTTCAAGCCCTATCTCCTGACTTCCTCCTGCCAAGGTTGGGTGATGTATAATTTAACAAAACAGACACTTCTGAGAATGAAAGGGGACACTACCCAAATAAAGATGTATGCTGATGGCCAGGTGTGGCGGCGAATGCTCATACTCCTAGCACTAGGGAGGCTGGCACAGGAGGATTGCTGAGAGTTCCAGGTAAGCCTGGACTGAAAGGGAAAAATGGAAAATGGTCCAAGAGAAATTGTTTTTAAAACTCTGCTCTTTTGAAACTGCCTAGCTCTGTAACTGCTTCATGGCTTTGTAATTACTTTCTTGACCCCTGTGACGGTAAGAGGGTAATCAAACATATGGAATGCCTGATTGTACCATTGTACCAAGCTTCATAAACTGATGATCATTAAACTACCCTTGTAACTGACGATCTCACCCTGCTAGCTACTCAGAAGAGCTACCAAGCTGTTCTGTCTCACCTTTGTACCTCCTGCTTGTGCATCAGATAAAAGCCCTAGACCACCAGAGATCGGGGCCTAATAGTCTGGGAATGATCCTGATCGGTGCCCATTGACACACATAAATCTGCCTCCAAATCCTGGGTGTCACTTTGGTGTTTCTGCTTGCCACTGCAGGACTACTGAGTAATTCGAGATCAGTCCGAACTACATGGCAAGACCCTACCACAAAAAAGCCAAAAAAATTTTCAAAATAAAGACATATGTAGAAAATATAAATAAATAATTACATTGGGCAGAGGTTAAAACTGAGGTCAAATTAGCCAAATTAGGACATAAAGTCATCCTACCCATAAATTATTGAGTTATATATCACAGATTAAAAATCCAAGAATTATGCAACACAAGTTAAGTTTAAAGAAAATGAGGTCTCAAAAGGTTTTGAATCTATCAAGTTCTTTCAAACCTTACACTTCTGGGTCCTCCCTAGGAAGATTCTGATTTATTTCAGTGGGATCCAAGAAGTTATTGTTTGTTAAATGATATCCTCATCCACAGATTTTCACATACACCCCAGGTAAGAAGGGCTACAATAAGCTATGTCTTGTCCATTAGCCTGAATTATGAATCATCTGGGAAACTTAGTAAAATAAAATGATCTTTAAATAAATGAGTTGAGGCATTTCTAACAAGCTTCCAGATAGGCCTATTTAGCAGGCCACATTGCCTGGCCTGACATCCTTCAAATTTTGTTACACAAACGTCACATTTTACCCATCCACTGACTCTTTAAACTGAAAAATGTCAAAATGAATGGAGAAACACACCTTTTTCAATAAGTATTAGTTACATAAGCCACGGTGGGGGTAGCAGTCTGTTGCATTTCCTAATTTAAGCTAAACAATGTGATTTTTTAACATCTGCACTGAAACCAAAATGATGAAAACTTAATGAATTAAAATAATAAGGAATACTGAACATACATAGAAGTTAAGAGTAATTTAAAAGCTTCTGTTAAGTTGGGACATAAAGAGATCATATGTGGTGATAGAAAGTTTTAATAAAAATAATTTTTCTGCCTCCAAGAACTGGAAGGAAAAACAGAAAGCTTCTAACATGTAGGAACCCAGGCAAGGGAGTCAATTTGTCACCAAGTCCCATGAAAGAAAAGTATTTCTCTCCAATGTTTGCTCTTCTTTCTTTGTACAAATTTCACTGTTTACATCACATTAGAACTTACCTTTTGCAGTAAAAATACCATTAAGAGTCTAGTCAGTAAACTTCAGTATGCCAAAATGGTGGTATCAAGCTGATTATCACAATTAAATTTAAGTAGGAAAAGCAAAAGAATGTTTCTTTATTAAAAGAAGTTTCAGGATGCCGAGGACACCTGTCTCCGAAAGGTCCACCCCTATTTGTTAAGCAAACAAGGCTCAAATTGCAAATCCCTGTTGGTATAAAACCTAGACAAATGTCATTGCAAAAATAAATATCCTGATATAATAGATGACATAAGGGCTGCATTTACAAGTCTACCACTCTTAATCAAAAGCACTGACCTTAACAAGCACTGTGTCACCCTCTTTGTATTTTTGTACTAAGAAAACCTAGATATAAGATAAAAATTCCCTAATCTCTCTCTCCCCTCTAAACTTATACCTCATTAATAACTATGTTAGGTAACTTGCAAATTACTCATTTTTACCCATTAAATCTAATGAGAGTAATTAGTAATTTCATTATGAGATTATTATACTTATTTATAAAAATCTAATTAGGTATACAATTTTAGGAGTTTGTTTTGTCATTTACCTAACATGGAGCTACATAAAGTCAAATACATCAGTATTGATCACTGCTATAGCTCCAGTATATAACAGTTCTTCAATAACTAGGTACTGGGGGCTGGGGATTTAGCTCAGTGGCACAGCGCCTGCCTGGCAAGTGCAAGATCATGAGTTCAACTGCCGGTACCAGAAAAAAAAACAAAACACACACACACACACACACAAAATTAGGTACTATTAGTAGTAATAATTAGGTAGTACTGGTAGTTCAGGCAGCTGAATCAAAGAACAGTGTCTAAAATATAATCCTCAAATTATTTAACAAGAAAGGATTTGTTTTCTAATTTCTTTTTTCTAATTTCTTTATATATAAAACTATCACTACAAAACAATCAATATTCATTTATAATAAACAGAACTAAAAAGATGGCAATCTCTGGTCTAGAACACTGAAACTGTTCATTAATTCATCTCAGAAAAATTAAAAGCCTCACCATTTCTATGTGTCTCTAGTGACTCCTCCGGAAAGTTTCTCTGGTCTTCATCTTTCTCAAGATTTTCACTGGCCTTCGACAGCCGCTTTCTGGGAGACATCTCTTTACCCACCATTGAATAGTCTAGGAGAGAAGATGTAAAAAGCATTGAACAACAGCTAGAAGAAAAAATTCTGAATGCTCCCAACACAAAGATATATATATGTGTGTGTGTGAGAAAGACAGGGTCTTGCTATGCAGTTCAGGCTGGCCATGAATTCACTATGTGGCTCAGGCTGGCCTCGAACTCACGGTGATCCTCCTACCTCAGCCTCCCAAGTGCTGGGATTACAAGGGTACACCACCATGCCCAGCAGCAATGTGCATTTAAAATGATGGATACACTATCTAAATTTGATTTTATACAGTGTATACATGTATCAAAATAAAACAGTATTCCATAAATATATGCAATTATTATGTATCTATCATTTAAAATTTTTAAAATAGGGTTGGGAATATAGCTCAGATATATAGTGCTTGCTAGTATGTGTAAGGCTCTGGGTTCAATCCTAGCACCATCAAAAAGGAAAGAAAAGTTTAACTTAAAAATTAAGGAAAGATTTGAACATCACTGGTCATTTGAGAAACGCAAATTAAAACAACACTGAGATTCCATCAGACACCAGAAAGAATGGCTTTCATCAAGAGATCAACCAATAACAACTGTTGGCCAGGCTCTGGGGAAAAAGGAACCCTTCCCCACTGTGTGAGTGTAAACTGACATAACCACTATGGAAATCAGTATGGAGATTCCTCAAAAAACTAAAACTAGAGGTTCCATGTACCCAGCTATTCCCCTTCCAGTTATTTTCCAGAAAATTAAAAGCATCACACCACAGCAATACTATGCACACCCATATTTACAGCAGCACAATTTGTAATAGTGAAACCTTGGAAACAGCCCATATCCCCATCAGCAGATGAATAAAGAAAATGTGGGTTTTATATATAAGGAACATATGATATATATTCATAAAGGATAAACTTGAGACATTAAGTAAATGGATGCACCTTGTGAACACACTTTTAAGTGAAATAATGCAAGTTCAAATATTGCAGTGTTTTTCTGTGTGAGAAACCCAAAGGGTAAAAAGGACCAAAACAGAGGATAGATATGGGGAAGGAGAAACAAAATGTTCAACTGAGAAGAGCAACATTGGAGGGGGGAAGAAAGAAAGGGAATAGGGATTTTTAAAAAAGAATAGAAGGAAACAACAGAAACAAAGTTTTATAAATGGAGAGGGGAAGATGGATTGAAGGGAAGAGAGGGGAATTAAGATATATTATGCACAGGCACAAACTCCCTATGATGAACATGATGATTTTGTATGTCAAAAATGTACCAGTAAGGTCAGGTGTGATGGTGCACACCTGTAATCCCAGGACTCAGGAGGCTGAGGTAGGAGGACTGATAAATTCAAAACCAGCCTGGGTTACATGGTGAGTTCAAGATCTGCCTGCACCTTACAGTGAGACCCTGTTTCAAAAAGAACTGAAAAACCAAAAAAAGTACCAATAAAATTAATTTTAAAAAAAATGCTTTGAACTACGTATGCAGCTAGTTTAGGTGAATTTTAGAATACCACCATTACGTTTAAGATAGGTAACGAGTGATGACATATTATCTTCCTTTTGTTTTACTTTAATCACATTAAGCATTTTCTGAGTAAAAAATACTGCAACAAAGCTGAAAAAATTAGCCTTTATGTATATAACTAGCTTGTTTCAAAGGTCCTTTTTAGACATAGCCCTCATTCCTTTTTAAGTGCATATTAGTAATACAGAATACTGAAATTCGTCCTGGGAAATCAGTACATACATGTAACACACCTTGATCATTTTCAATCTCACTCTCCCTTTCCATACTCTCTCACCCTTACCCTTTCCCAAAAGTCTATTTTCTAGTTTCCTGTCATCTCTCCCTTATTTATTTGTTAAGGTTTCTCATATAAAAGCAAACCATGTGATATTCAACTTTCTGAGTCTGCTAATTTCACTTAACACGATGGTCTCCATTTTCCTGAGAATGACATGACTTAAGTTTCCTTTATCTTAACCCAACTTGAACTGCACAGCGAGACCTTGTCTCAAAAAAAATAAACACTATTATCCAAGCCCTATCAGACAGCATAGTACAGTGCAATGTTTCCCTAAGTAGAACTATAACAGCTCATTTTTGAGCTCTTATGTGCCTTATATGTATTAAGTATTTTAAACTCAATAAAAGGCATCAGCATTGAGAGCAAAAATAGTACTGATTTAATGAGCACCTATTATGTAATCTTCCAACCACTGTACCACTGAGCCCTTTATGCTTTCTTAATCTTTACAACCTTAGACAGATATTATTCTTTATAAATGAGAACAATATAGTTTAAGGAAATAATATAACCTGTCCCAAATCCCATAATGCTCTAACAGCAGAAGTGAATGGGCAACAAAGACAATTCCACAACTTATTGCCTAATCACTAGACTGCCTCCAACACACCTCCTATGCTATGGTTCCCTAGACATCACCTCTCCTCTCAGCATCTCTGTGGTTCCACTGCACTTTGCACCATTTCTCAGGGCTATGTTTTCTCTCAAATTCCCAAAATCTTGGGCCAGGCACATAGCTCAGCGGCATAAGAGCCTGCCTGGCAAGCACAAGGTCCTGAGTTTGATTCCCAGTACAAAACACACACACACACACACACACACACAAACACACAAATTCTCAAAATCTTGTGAAAAGTACCTGGAGCTCAGCAAGAATGTATTAGGACAGGAAGTCACTGTATCAATTAATGCCATCACTAATCATTCTAAGTAGTAAGATACAATGCTCTAAACTTGCAGAATCAAGGGAAAAACATATGCTGGGAGGATATCAATGCACATCACTTTACTGTTAACATCTTTGCACATCCTACAACACTATTTTTAACTGGTGGTGAGTGAGAGATCCCCTAGATTCTTGATATTATGTACAAATTACTTCAAATATTTCAATAAGTGAAACTGACAATTAAACCTTTGTCACACAAAGAAAGCTACATAGGCTAACTATAACAGTTACTTTGTTCTGGTTCAGTGTATCAGCTCAGAAAACTGTTACTGATTAGACTGTACTGAGTTTGCACAGTCACAGTGCCAGAAAGGTTTAATTTGCTTATTTTATTTTGTTTGTTTGTTTGTTTTTATCTTTTTGAGACAGGGTCTTGCTATGCAGTTCAGGCTGGAGTTGAGCTCACTTTGTAGCCCAGGCTGGTCTTAAATTTGCAGCAATCCTAAATGCTGAGATTACAGGCGTGTGCCACCACACCGGGCCTAATTTGCTTATTTTAGAAGTATGCCAAAGAGAAACTTATTTCTCCTAACAAAATATTTACCTCATACATCATAGTTTACAGTACTATCTTTAGCCCTGATTTTCTCTACCTATAGGAAATGAGAATTGTAATATAGTGGAAGAGCATCAGAATGCCAATGTTCAAGAGGTTAAAGTTCTGCTCTGCCATACGACGGTGTCCTTGAATATATCCCCCAATCTCTGAATTGGTTTCTTCATCTAGAAAATGGAGATAAATACTACAGAACAAGGTAATAAAACAAGAAAAGAGGAATAATATACACTAATTTTAAACCTCACCATGGTCTAATAACTGTCACATTATCTGCCCTTCTCACCACTCTCATCCTCATCACCTACTATTATTCTCTCATTCACTCTATTCTAGTTTCTTAGACCTTCTGCATTGCTTTTTTTTCCCCCAGCACTGGGATCAAATCCAGCACCTTCCACATACCAGCCAAGTAGTCTCCCACTATGGAGTTACTATACTCCAAGCCCCTTTCTGCCATTTCTTCAACAAGCTCAGCTGTTCCCACTTAAAGACCTCTGGTACAGTACTCCCCCTGCCTGGAACATCTCCCCCAGACACCCTCAAGGGTTTCTCCTTCATTGATCCAAGTCCTCCTTATCTGTACTATTTAAAATAAACACCCTATAACTTTGTTCCTCTCACTCTCTTACCCTAGTTTTCTTCAGAGACATATTAGCTAATATATTGCACTATTTTCCACCTACTCAAGTCTATAATCCCCATGAAAAGTAGAATTCCCTCTTGGTTATTTTATCTAAAATTGTGCCCAGAGCACATTCTCTACCTAATACTGTATAGTTTATACTGCACTATTTTCCACCTACTCCTCAAGTCTATAATCCACATGAAAAGTAGAATTCCCTCTTGGTTATTTTATCTAAAATTGTGCCCAGAACACATTCTCTACCTAATACTGTATAGTTTGTTGAACTAATTAATAAATAGTTACCAAGTATTTTTGCATACGTTAAGGATATAAAACAAGGTTCTAGGCTTTTGATATAGTTCAGATACCAATGCTTGCCTAGCATACACAAGGCCCTGGGTGTAATCCCCAGCACCACTAAATAATGTAAGGGGAAGAGGGGGAGGAGAGAGGGAGAAAAGGAGTGGGAGAAGGAAACGAAAGAAAGGAAAAAGAAGTTTGCTCATTCTATATTCATTGAGCAATCATTAATGGTCTAATATGAATTGGAACTGAAGTTCTTTACTTTTTCAACTTTACGTTAATACTAAAAAATACATACAAAACACATACGACAATTACTAAGTACAGTGCCACAGGCCCGAAGTCCCAATTACTAATACCAGCTATGCACTTGCAAGGCTGAGGCAGGAGGATCACTGAGCCCCAAGAGCTCAAGGCCAACCTGGGCAGCATAATCTGACTCCATAGTCAGACTCCACCTCAAAAATAAAGACACAAAATAATCAGGGAGAACACTGCCTTCTTTGAAATTTAAACTGTATCTGTAGCTCACTGAAGGTACGCCAATGCTTTACCACTGAGCTACATCCCAGGCCCTTAAAATGATCTGTTCTAAAGCTTAAGACTTGGGCTGAGTATATAGCTTAGTCCAACAAGCACCTGACTAGCAAGTGCAAGGTCCTGAGTTCAATCCTGGTACCACACACAAAAGGAAGGAAGGAAGGAAGGAAGGAAGGAAGGAAGGAAGGAAGGAAGGAAGGAAAACAGCTTAAGACTTCATCAACA